TCTCTCAAAAAAAAAAAAAAACTTTGCATGAAGAAGATGCTCACTAAATATTGGCTAACCACACAGATCAGTGACTAAATATTGTCAACTGTCCTGCTGTCCTATTTGTCCAACATTTTAAAAAACAAATTATGAAGGCATAAAATAGCTAAGCTTTTCTGTGATCATATCTTTCTTTTCATTTTAAAATACTTCCATCTTACAATAATAAAATCTTTAGCTGGCACTTAAAAAAAAATATCTCCAGGGCAGTGAGGAAGTTCATCAGAGAAGGAAGAGCTGGGGTGTGGCTCAGCAGCAGAGCACTCGCCTAGCACATGTGAGGCCCTGGGTTCAATCCTCAGCAACACATAAAAATAAGTAAATAAAATAAAGGTATCATGTCCAACTATAACTAAAAATTATATTTAAAAAAGAGAGAAGGAAGAGAGGAGAAGGGAGGGCATCGAGGAGGCCACAGTGGGGTCTAGGAGAGGCCGCTTCCAGCCCCCAAGGTTACAAATCCCAGAGTGAATTCACAGAGGGGAACTGGAGGACTTCGCCTTCACCACGGAGCCAGGTTCACATGGTGATCAGCACCAAGATGATCACCATCAGCCTTCCGATGCCAGCCTGGAGAAGGACACAGCATGTACCCGAGCTGACCACACAGATCAGCGACAGACCCAAGCTGGAGGGCTATCTGCAAAACTGGCCTGCAGTGTGGAAAGGCAGGAGGTCAAGACGAGACTCAGAAGGGCCCCAGAATGCAGAGACTAAGGGTCAAGGCTAGGAAATACAAGGAATGCACCTGAACTGGGCCTCAGTCGAGGCCAAACAGCCGGGTTGGCATGGACGACGGAATCTGAGCGTGGTTGGGGTATGAGAGGACGCATGTAGATTAATACAGATTTTCCTCGTTTTAATAATCTAAGTGTAGGCACAGTCATTGTCCTTAGAAAGGTCCACACAACTATTTAATGGCATTCAGTGCATGTCTCTGACTTACCCTCAAATAGTGGGATGTGTGCATTGCATAAAAATACAGAAACATATATACACATCCAAGAAGGAGTGATCTATACATTTTATACAGACATATGTAGATAGAGAAGAAATTGTAAGGCAAATAATGATTTTTTAACAATAGACAAGTAAATATTGGTTAAAAAAATCCAGAAGTCCCATATACTATTAGGGTAATTCTTCTATAAATTTGAAATTATGCCAAGCAAAAGATTGTTTTCCTCAAAATGTTAAACATAGAGTTCCCAGATTACCCAGAGATTCCACTGGGTATGAAATATGTATCGACACAGTGACTACAGAAACGTCCACAGCTCTGTTATTCATTACAGCAAAAGGCAGAAATAACCCAACGTCCCCACCTGAAGAACGAATAAGCAGCACAAGATACATATGCAAAGGAATATTCAACAGGCACCAGGGAGTGAGCTGTAGAAACAGTGACAGAAGCCGGGCAGGAAGAAGCGCATTTCTGGGACTCCTTTTGGATGCAATGTCTGGAATGTGAAGACCCATGAAGTCAAAAAGGAAGCAGTGGGTGGGGTATTGGGGAGAAATGGGGAGTGACTGCTTGGGGTGATGGAACCGTTCTAACTGCAGTGGCGACGGCTGCCCGAGTCTATGAGTGTGGTGAAACCACAGTTAGACATGCGAAGTAGGCGAGTGGTACGGAATATGAACCAGTTCTTGAAAACAGAAAACATCATCCAAAAATAAGTGAATAAAAGCTAAAATGAATGAAAGGAGCAGCCCAAACGAGGAGTGAAGAGGTCTGGGTGAGTTCCTGGAGAAGGGGGACCTGCCTCTGGCTGCATGGTCATTCTGCCCTTGACCTTCCCAAGTCCCTCGGGCACCTTTCTCTGCCCTACACCCAGGCACCAGTCTGGCTCTCTTTCGACTGTGAGCACCCTTCCTGTCCTCTCTCCCTTCAGCAGGGTGAGGCCCGTGGGTGGAGACTCCCTTCCAGGGGACTGCTGTGCTGTGACCGCCCCGAGCCCGTTGCCATCGCCAGCTGCACTCACCTCCGGCTGAAGGCCAGGTCCATGACTCTCCGCTGCTTGTGCCAACGCTCATAGTCACATTCAGACACCAAGCCCTGGCCAAATAGTCTGTGGGAGACAGAAACTTGATGCAACACCAGGGTGTGTGGGCAGTAACTGTGTGGTGTGCATGGGTTACCTATGGGGCCGAGAGAAGGTCCTGGGACACACCGTGAGTGCACCAATTGTGCCACAATAAAAATGTGTAGCGCTCAGGTACTAGGCATGGCCTGGCACCCCACAAGTGCCACAATATCACACATCTATTAGAAATAAGACACAGGAGATTGTGTGTCCCAACCTTCACAACCCCACACTCCCAGGAAAGAGCCAATGACAAGAGCAAGGACACCATGCACAGACATCCCCAGTGCCTGCCTGTCAGTGCCACCTCAGCCCTAGGGAGTCCCTGTGCTCCCAGTGGAGGCCCTCCCGCCCCTCAGCTCCTTACCTCTCTCCAAACACAGTCTGGATGGCGCGGTACATCTTGGAGTCCTTGTTGTACTTGGTTGACATCAGGAACTTCTAAACATCCCCAAAAAACCAACATAAGCTGAGGTACCCATGAGAGGCTGCAAAGGGCCCTCCTGAAACATGCCCCAGAGCCTTGGCATCGGCTGAGCGCCAGCCCTGGTGGGAAGCTCCCCACACAGCGACTCTCGCAAGCCCTCATCCATTCACTGAGGAGGGCAGTCTTGAGGCCACAGCAACGCCTGGGGACGGGGGATGAGGGAAAGGGGGTCCAGAGGGGCAGAGCCATCTTCCATCCCAGCTGTGGGGTTCCTTACTCCAATGCCACACTCAGGACCCCACGCCACCCCCCTTCCCGAGCAGCCCATCGGAAGGCGCAGACTGCTCTGACCCCAGGGTGGGAAGGGGAGAGCCTGGGGGGCTTCAGGTCACAGGAGAGACACTGGCACAGATTCAGACTTGCAGCCCCAAGGAGCCCCAGAGGCCGAGGAAAACCTCCTGGAGGCACAGCCAGCTGTCCCCAGGAGCTGGCTGGTAGCCATGGCAACATCAGCCAGCAGCTGGGCGGCAGCACAGGCCAGTGGTAAGCAGCGTGGGCCCGGATCTGCCAGTCTGAACGGGGATCTGGGCCCACATCCCATGCTGTGGACTCCATGACCCTGGCTGGGTTACTCCGTCCCCTGCCCCTCAGTGTCCCTGTCTTATCTTATAAGATGGGCTCAGAGTGCCTGCCCGCTGGGGCTGCTGCGCAGGGAACTGGGTGTGCAGGCGGGGTGCTCAGCACGCACCAGGTGTGAACCAGCACCCTGCGGCTCACCCTCAGACCCAGGTCGCAGAGCTGAGGGTTAGAACTGGCCACGGTCACACTCATGGAGGACACGGGACTTGAACTCAGGCAAGTTGCTGCAGGGCAGGTGAGAAAGGCTGGCATGTGGCTGAGGGCAGTGGGGGCCAGGCACATTCCACAGAGGGGTGTGGAGTGGGGAGGGGTGTGGACGCCACAGAGCCTGGACCCCGAGAGCTGCCCTCTCCGATGCCGAGCACCAGGAGGCAGTCAGGCTGCTTCTCTACTGGAAATCAACCCAGGGCTGCCACCTTCTGTAATTCTAGCTTCTGGGGTGGAATGTTGATTTTTTAGCTGAAAGAAAACCCAGAGATGACTGACTTCACATAAAGAGCCATATCCCAGGAACCCTGAGCCCACCCCAAACACTGTCATTTATAAGCTGAGCTCTGTCATCAACCCCTCTGTCACCAAGAGGAAGACACCAATAAAAGCCCACCTCCTGTCCCTGCTCAGAGGTCCCTGAGCTCCTGAGGTCCCCGGCCCATCTGAATCTGAACCAGTCCCTGCTGCCAGGGCAGGACAGCTTCAGCATGGGCTCCAATCAACGTCCCCACTGCCTGGCGTCTCCCAGGGCCTGCTGTCCTTGGGCTAGGGACCCTGTGGTTGCCCACTGAGCAGAGCTCTGGGCCGGGGCATGCTCAGGAAGGCACGAGCTCTTTTTGCCTCTTCTCTGATGCACACCAGCCCAGGAGGCAGTAAGGGTTCCAGACCTGCCTCCTGCCAGATCAGAAAACAGGGCAGAAAAGTGTGACACGTCTGTTTTCCGACACCATTTTGAGACAAGCAGGACAGGACTGTGAACCAAAGGAGGGAGGAAAAAAAGATGTAGGCCTTATGACCTGGTGTTTACCCAGCTTTCACCTGGAGGCAATTTCACAATGACACTAAAAGAAGAGACCTAAATACAGTCCATCAGCCTTGCCAAGTTGCACACAGAACTCAGAGTCCAGGAAGGCCAAGGGAAGCTGGAATTTACAGGACAAAGAACTGAGAGGAGCAATGCCCAAACGAGCTCCATGCATGGGGTCACCAGAGTGTTTGATGACCACCAGTACATCTGTTGGGGACTCCATGAGGCTGGGCCAAAGCAGATTCTGAGAAGAGGAGGATTATCACACAACTACAGGCTGGGCAATTCCCAGAGCTTAAACAGAGCCAAGAATCACTCAAGTACCCACCGGCCAGAGTAGACACGTTTCCAACAGGAAGACTTCATTAAAGGCCCTGGGAGAGTCACCGTTTAGCAATAGGAATAACCTGGCCCTGGAGTAAAAGTCAACTCTGTAGCCATCAATCAATACCTTAATGCAAGCTGAGAAAGGATCAAATTGATCTGCAAGTTACTTTACCATCTGTCTGAATGAAGTCCAACAATTTTTAAAGGAAGAAAGCAAAAACATAGATTTTTTTTAAAAATAGATTCTTCTTCTGTTGCCCAGGTGGGTCTTGAACTCCTGGGTTCAAGTGATTCTCCTGCCTCTTCAGTAGGTGGAACTACAGGTAAATGCCACCATGCTTGGCTCTTCAAACAAAATTGAATGCTCAACAATGAAAAATCCATAGTGTAACAAGGGTGATGACTACCCTACTGCCTTTTACACCATCTTATCCAATATTAGCTTTACTTTGCCACGAGGTGAAGTTGTTCTTTGTCTTTCCCTTCCTATCAACTCTGGTCTCCAAATACTGGTGAGCAGAATGGAACTTTGTAACAACATTGGCCAGTTGTCAATTTAAAAAAAAAATAGAAAAGTCAAAAAAGAGGGAAGTCTGGCCTATATCCAGGCCTAGACATAATAAATGTGATAGAATGGTCCCGCAGAACTTTAAACACCAGTTGAAATATTATAAATATATTCTAATTGCCAAAAAAATTGGAAAAAAAACTTGGAGGATTTAAATACCACTACACACCAACATATTCAAAGAATCCACATATCCAAGAAGTTCAAAGAATCCCAAGTAGAATTGATACAAAGGAGCTGGGCACAGGGGCACACACCTGTAATCCCAGTAAACTCTGGAGCCCTGAAGCAGGAGGATCATGAGTTCAAGGCCAGCCTAGGCAACTTAGCAAGATCATGTCTCAAATCAAATCAAATCAAGTAAGGGCTTGAAAGGTGGCAGCCCTGTGTTGATTTACAGTAGAGAATCAGCCTGACTGCCTCCTGGTGCCCCCAGGGCAAAGCTCGGCATCGGAGAGTACCTCTTTGGTGTGCTTGCCTAGCATGCATGAAGCCCTGGGTTCAATTCTTAGTACCACAAATAAATAAACACAAAGAAAAGGACCTACAGGCAGATCATAATTCAATTGCTAAAGTGATAAAGAGAAAGTCATAAAAACAGATAGGCAGAGATGAAGTGGCAACTTGAAGATGGATTGATATAAGTTAAAGATGATATTATCAATCCTAGGATGACCACTGAGAGAGAACGCGAAAAAGCCAATAGCAGAGATAAAACAGAATACTAAACTGTACCTGATCCAAAGAAGGCAGAAAAGGAGGAAGGGGAGACAAACAACAGATGAACACACAGAAAACAAACAGGAACACGAGGGACTTAAGCCTAACTGTAAAAATAATTACGCTAAACATAAATGCCCTCAAGCGCTCCATTTAAAGGTAGAGACTGTCATACCATATACAACCGCAAGAACTCAGCTACGAGCTACCTATGAGACACCCACTTTAAATCCAGAACCCCAAGGGTTAATAGTAAAGAGACGCCGCCAGGTGACAACAAGCAGAAGAAAGCTGAAGTGGCTGTATGGAAGCAGAGAAGAGGTACTCCAGGCAAAGAGCACTCCCAAGGGTAAAAACAGACATTTCCAAGAATAAAGGGGTCAATTAAAAAAAAAAATTAGGAAAGTCAAAAAAGAGGAAAGTCTAGCCTATACCCAGGCCTAGACACAGTAAATGTGATAGAATGGTCCAGCAGAACTTAAACACCAGTTGCAATATTATAAATATATTCAAAGAGGTCAGTTCTTCATGGAGACATCATCCTACTAAATGCATACGTACCGGATAATAGAACACCAAAATACATGAAGTAAAACAGGTAGGACTGAAAGTTGAGACAAACTCATGACTTTGATTGGAGGGTCCAAGACCAGTAATTGTCAGACCACTTAGAAAGAACTTGGAGGATTTAAATACCACTACACACCAAGTTGATGTAATTAACGTTGCTAAGACACTATTCAGCAATTATGAAATATGCATTCTTTTTAAGTATTTGTAAATGTTTATCAAAATGGACCATATGCCAGGCCCTAAAACAAATTTCAATGAATTTAAAAGAATTGAAATCACAATGAGTATTTTCTCTGATCTTAAAAAACTAAATTAGAAACCAATAACAGAAAAATATCTTGAATATCCAGTAATATTTAGAAATGGAATAACACACATCTAAATAATCCATGGTTCAAAGAAGAAAGCACAAGAGAAGGTTAGAAAATATTTTGAATTGAATTAAAATGAAAATATGACCTACTAAATTTGTATTAAGACAGTTCCCTTTAAGTTTTTATAGGCTTTTTTTTCTTAATACTTTTATTTTGTTGATTTAGGTTTTTATTTGTTTGTTTATTTTTAATGTGGTACTTGGGATCAAACCCAATGCCTCATACTCTACCAATGAGCCACAACCCCAGCCCTTAAGTGTTTCTTTTGAAAAACAAACAAATGATTTAAATCAATGATATAAACTCTCACCTTAAAAATTAGAACAAGAACAAATTAAACCAAAATTAGTATAGGAAGAAAATGATAAAAACCTGAAATCAGTAAATAAGAAAATGGAAAAACAATAGAGAAGTTGATAAAGCAAAAATGGTTCTTTGAGCCACTCATTCATTTGCCTTGTAGACTGATCAAGAAGTAAAAGAAAACCCAAATGACGATTCTCAGGAATGAAGGGAGGGGACATCACTACAGATCCTACAGACATTAATAAGATGAGTAAATGTCATGAATGCCTTTGTACCAATTATTTTGACAACTTAAATGAAATGGATAATTCCCTGAAAGACATGAATTACAAAACTCAAAAAAAAAAATCAGAATGACCAAATGTCAATTAAATAAACTGAGAAGGAAATCCTGATACCTGCTACAATATGGGTAGACCTAGGGGATGTTATGAAAGCAAAATAAACCAATCTCAAAAGAACCAAAATTCTATGAGTCCACCTAGATGAGGTGCTGCAGTTAGTCAAATTGATAGAGGCAGTAAGTGTGGTGCTGGTTGCCAGGAGCTGGGGTAAAGGAAAATGGAGATTTATTATTTAATGAGTACAGAGCTTCAGTTTGGGAAAATTAGGAAGTTCTAGAGTTGGGTGATGGTAAAGAATGCACAACAATGTGAAGGTACTTAATGTCCCTGAGCTGTACACTTAATTAAAACTGTAAATTTAGCAAGGTATGGTGGTGTGCAATTGCAACCCCAGCTACTGGGGAGGCTGAGGCAGAAGGATTGCAAAGTCAAGGTCAGTCTGGGCAACTGAGGGAGACCCTGTTACAAAATAAAAATTTAAAAAGGCCTGGGGATGTGGTTTAGTGGTTGGACATGTTTGCCTAACATGGGCAAGGCCCTAGCTACCAATACTAAAATAAATTATGCATTTTATGTTATATTTTATTTTATTTTTTTAAATTTTTTTTTAAAGAGAATTTTTTAATATTTATTTTTCAGTTCTCGGCGGACACAATATCTTTGTATGTGGTGCTGAGGATCGAACCGGGACCGTACGCGTGCCAGGCGAGTGCGCTACCACTTGAGCCACATCCCCAGCCCCTATTTTATTTTATAATACTTTAAAATTTAAAATATTTTTAAGTACATGACTTTTAAAACACATGAAATATTTATGAATTATTTATTTATTTTATGTACCAGAGATTGAACACATAGCCACATCCCCAGACCATTTTTGTATTTAACTTAGAGACCAGGTCTCACTGAGTTACTTAGGGCCTCAATAAATTGCTGAGGTTGGGGTTTTTTTTTGTTGTTGTTGTTTGGTTTTTTTTCTTATTGTTTTTTAAGAGAGAGAGAGAGAATTTTTTTTTAATATTTATTTTTTAGTTTTCGGCGGACACAACATCTTTGTTTATATGTGGTGCTGAGGATCGAACCTGGGCCGCCCGCATGCCAGGCGAGGGCGCTACCACTTGAGCCACATCCCCAGCCCGTGAGGCTGGCTTTGAACTAGTAATCTCCTGCCTCACTCTCTGGAGCCCCTGGGATTACAGGCCTTCACCACCATGCCTAGCGAAATGTTTAATTTCTCAAAATACCAACAAAACTTCCCTTAAAACCAAGTCTAGATCCATGGCCCCACTGGTGAATTTTATAGAACATTAAAGAAAACAGTAATACCATTCTTATGCAAATTCTTAAAAAAAAAAAAAATACAGAGGAGGGATTACCACTTCCTGACAGCCTTGAGTCTGGTATTAACCTGATACCAATACCTGACAAAGGCACTACAAGAAAGTAAATACAAGAACAAAAAAACCTGAATCTAGAAAAATAAGCCTTAACATATCATGACCAGGAATGCAAGGTTTGTTAATACTTGAGTATCAGTTGCCACACTCACATAATGCACCATACTAATATACACCTGCAAGTATCGTGAAAGTCTCTATGCATGTTCTTGGTCACATACTTTAAAAACTCTTAAACTATGTCTGTGAAATTGAGCTTTTTTGAAAATAATCTTTGACCTTCAGTTAGTAACACCATGGTTGTTCAGCCTGTCTCTTGAAGTGTGCCCAAAGTTAGGGTTGGAGTATTGCTCAGGGGTACAGCATTTACCCAACACATTTGAGGCCTTGGCTTCAATCCCCAGCACCACAAAAACAAAACAAAGCAAAACCCCACTAACACCACATGTTGTATTTCGCCCCTCACCACGGCCACACTGTGTCACAGCAGTATATCTGAACGTCCACTCTGAAAAATAACAGTGCCAACACTAACTGAGCAAATGGCGTGTGCCTAGCATGGGCCCCACGGTTCCAGCCCACTGTTCAAGAGAGGCAACATCCCTGTTTTATAGATGAGGAATCAGGCCCAGAATGAAGTCACTTGTCCTAGGTCCCACAGCCAGCCAGCCATAGAGCCCAGATTTGAGCCTGGTTTGGCCAACTCCAAAGCAGATGATGGGTATTCATTCTTTATTCCTACATGGTACAGACTAATGCCATCTGTCTCGGTTTCCTCATCTCTAAAGTGGGGACTAATAAGAGCCCCCACCCCGTGAAGATGAAATGGGTCAACAGTGATAGAGTACCTAGCAAAGTACCTGGCACACAGTAAGCACTGCCTGGGTATCTTAGAAGCTTCATGTTAGGCAAATCCATCCAAATTTGATTCTCATCAGAGAGCTTCAAGGTAGGGTTAAAATTGCTGCCTCTTTAGATGAAGAACTGAGGCCAAGAAAGGCAAATTCACTACATTTTAACCAGATGGATCAAATTCCCAGCCCAAACAGGAACAGCAGAGTCCCCTCCCGCTCCATGTGCCCATGGCAGTGCTTAGAGGTGGCCCCAGTGGTGGCCTCTTTCTAAGAGGCCCCCCCTTTTGGATCCTTGGGAGAACAGCCTGAATGCATCTGGCTCTGGAGCGGTCCTCCTCGTCCCTGGGACCAGGTTTCACTCCCCCAACCCAGGGAAAGGGAGGGAGCTGCCCTGGAACCACACCCTCCCTACCTTGACTGACTCAGGGCTTGTGACGATGACCGAGGTTTTGTGGAAGACGTTGACACGCACAACAGGTCCGTACTTCTTAGCCCTGGAAATCAGAGTGACCAGAAAGAGGTTGTCAACCATCAGAGATGTGCCCCTCAGCCCAGCCTCAGCCCAGCCTCAGCCCAGGGGGTGCCTACTGCCAGGGGAAACAGAAGCATCCCATCCCAGAAGGTGCTCAGCACAGGGCAGGAAAAGAACCCAGTGCTGGGGGTCCGGAGGCCTGGGGGTGAGGCTCGGCTCTTGCCCAACCAGGGCTGAGTCACATCTCTCTCTGGGCCTCAATTTCCATGCCCATGAGATAGGATTGGAAGACCCTCATTCAATTGCCTGGGAAGGTCGTTCTGGGAACAATATCTTCATGACAACTTTTCTTTGGAAGCCCTTTGAAGAGTGTTAAGTCCCCTCCCACACACCCAGTTTATAGATAAGGAAACTCAGGCTCAAAGAGCTTCTGAAGGCTGGTCTAAGGTCCCCCCTTTGATGAATGGCACAAGGTGGCCTCCATCCAGCCTCATTCAGGTGTGGCCTGGGCCAGGGGACGGTGGGGCTGGGAGTTGTGTGACTAAATGGGATGACTTCCCCCTGAGGACCTGGAGTAAGGCAACAAGTGACAAGTTTGAACCCACCAATCCAAAAACACATCTTGGAGCACACGGCCACAAACCTCGTCCTTTTTCCAAAAGTAGGGGAGGTGTCCTAGAAGGAAACTGGAAGAAGAGGAAGCATTAGGCTCAGCAGCAGCATCACTGAAGGCTGCCCCTCCCCAACAGGACACAGGGAGGCCTGAGCGCCAGGAGGCCGTGGGCTGGCTCAGGACCACCAGGCAGTGACGCAGAAAGGACGCAACCCAGGTCCCACCAGTGCTGAAGGCTTCCTTGGAGAGGAGGCATTGTCCCTGGCCAGAGCTCCAGGGCTGGCACATAGCAAGGGTTCAGGAGCATGATGTGTCTCACCTTCTGACATCCGTGACGTACTTCCTGTGGCGAGCACCATGCTAAGCCTCACCCCACCTGGGCACTCTGTCTCCTGGGTAATCTAGGTATCACGAATCGTGTCATTTGTAGGACAGAGAGGTAGGGACCTGCCCACAACTGCACTGCTGGTCCCAGGGTACTTCAAATGCCTCACCAAGGGCCAGTTTATCTAAGTCTGTAGGGGAGGCACTGGAGCAGAGCAAGCCTGTTGGGTGTGACCTTGAAGCACATTTCAGGATGCCCGTGACTTCTTGCCTCTTACATGATTTTATTCCAATCATGCTCACTGCAGCATCCCAAATGGGTGACGATGAAACTGCAGTTGGAGTTTTCTGGGTCATGGAGCTCAGATTCACCCAGGGTGAGATGGAGAGAAGATTAAAAAGAGGAAGTAAATAAACATGATGCCAGAGAGTGATGGGAGAAAAACAGGATACATATTGGGACGAGAGTGCTGGGGAGAGGGGCAGGAATGGCCATTTATACAGGCAGGAACATCTCTCCAAGAAGGTGGCCTGTGATCTGACACCTGCAAGTAATAAAGGATTTCGCCACGCAAGTATTTAGGGAAATAGCAGTCCAGGCAACAGGAGCTGGTGCAAAGGCCCTGGGGTACGCACATGCTTAGATAGCGAGAAACCCCCTGTAGCCAGAGCAGAGTACTTAAGAGGCAGCTGATACAAGGTGGGGTCACCAAAGTTGTTCAGTGGACATAGGGTGCCATAGGCCGTTGACCAAACTTTGATTTGAAATCAGTCACGTGGGACCACTGTAGGGTTCAAGCAGTGGGGGGATCTGATTTAGACTTAGGTAGGTTCTTTCTGCTGCTGTGCTGAGGGTACCTGGAGTGGAACAGGGGACTGGAGTGAAAGCAGGGGCACCCCTGAGGGGCTAGGAGAGGCAATGAGGCCAGACCAGGGTAGGGCAGTGGCGGTGATAAGAAGTCAGATTTCTGACTGTCCTTGAAGGTACAGCCAACAGCGCACACTGACCACACGGATGTGGTGGTAAGGCATGGGAAGTGCCAAGGGTGCCCTGGGCTGTGGCCTTGGAAGCCGGGAGAATGGGTGGAGCTGCTGTTCACTAAGATGAGAAGGACCCAGCAGAGCTTGCCGGGCTGGCAGATGGCCTCCTGCCCACCGCATGATTCTGCCACCAGGACCCCTCTGGCTCTGCTCCAGAGAGGAACGGGCCACAAGTTCCAGGAGGTAAACGCACCGTGGAGAAGCCCCCACCACTAGCCCCGGCTCCCTCCACCTCTGCCGGGTGGCTCTGGCATGTTCTCTGTCCAGGACACTGAAGGACCAGGCAGGATGAGGACGGGGAGCTGACAACTGGGCACCCCTGGGGTTCTGGAGCAAAGCTCATTCAGTGAAGAGGCAGGAGCCAAAGTTCCAAGTTCAGAGGCAGAGTTGGCCATGGGGTAGGAGCTGCAGGGAGCAAGAGGGTGAGGGGCAGGGTCTTCCAAGCCAGGATTGGACAGCAGGTTATATCAAATGGTGTGGTGTAGAAGAGAGGACCAACTGATGGCCAGGGTGGGGGGCAGAGGATGGCTGGGGCAGGGTGGCTGAGCAGAGGGGCAGGCTGGCCTGGGCCAGGACACCGACATCCATCTGCAAGAACAGATGGAAGACATAGGGTGGGCAGCGAGGCGCAGGCCCCCTGGAAAGAAGTTCTTTGCACTCATTCCGTTGGCGCAGGGAAGTAGGAGTCGAGAATAAAAGCCGAGTGTGTGGGTGGAGGGGGAGGTGACAAAAGTCAAGAGAAGGCAAGAGAGCACACTGGAGAGTGGGTGGAAAAATGCTCTGGGGCAGGAAGTACACGGTGACCCTGGCAAAGGAGGCCCGTTCCAGGTGAGTAGCCCTGCACCGACACCACTCGGCTTACAGAAGGATGAACAGACAGGCTATATTTTCAGAGTAATCTAACATTCTGACTGTCAATCCCAAAATCTATCCGTGTTGGGGGAATGGTCTCATTCTTGTAGGCCTGTGTGACTCCAGTGGGATCCCCAGCTGCAGGGGGCTACCACCACCTGGGAAGAAAGGCAAATGTCACCAAAAGGTGACAGAGGGCAGGGAGTTGGGTAGGATTCCCAAGGCCAGTCAAGAAAGGAAACAGGCAGGTATGGCTGAGGGGATCGAGCCACACTGGGGCTTTCAGCTCAGCAATGGACAGAAGCCCACTTGCCATACCCCTGGTGATAGACTGGATGTGGTAGGGCAGCCCAGAGAGAGGGGGTGGACAGAGAGTCCCCCTGTCTGGCACTGCCCAGCACGTCCATTTCCTATAACACTGTGATGGGCCAGGTGTGAATCCAGGGTTTGCTATGGTGACAGAAAGTCCTGGACAGGAACGAGAGGAGGGGCCCACGGTGAGACCACTTGGGGATGAAGGGAGCCTACGCCCTGGTTGAGCAGTGGGGACCCCACCAGGGGTGAGAGCTGGGCCAGTGCCTCACCTGGTGGGACGGGGCAGCGAGTGTTGAGCTGGGCATCCAAAATCTACTGGCTGCACCACAGACAGAGCCTGAGGAGGGGCCTCACCAAGGCTGGGAAGCACCCTGGGCAGCTGGGCAAGTCAGACGGGAGGAGAGAACCAGCTCTGTCCGGAGTCGAAGTCAAAAAAATGTCTTCCAAAATAAATAAAAACCAGGAGAGACCGTGCAGTGTCAAGTTGACACCACTGCACGCCACCAGACGTCGGGGCTGCTGAGAACGTTAGAGAGCCGCGACAGAGAAATAAAGAAGCAACCCACATGGGTGTGAGACAGGCAGGGGGCTCTAAGTTTTTGTCTGTTAAATGAATCAGTGCAGAGGGACATGGTAATAAGAGCACAGAGAAGGTCACTGGGAGGACATCCTGGAGAAGAGGGCCTCCTACAGAAGGACAAAGGGTGGGCCAGGCCACAGCAGCTATAGAGTTTCTTTGCTACAAGCTGGCAAAGCCTTGGAATAACAAGGGACAAATGCAATACTGGAACCCTACTACACAGACTCCTGTCAATTACAGCATTGCCAACCACGATTCCAGGATGGAGGCTTTGAATGCCGGAATATCTAATTTGTGCTAGGAAAGTTTTCAGAACTTTCATCAAGCAGTTTTATATTTGACTACCAATCAAGTTGTAATCCAAAATCTTTATATATGCACTGTTCAGTTCACCTCCTTAATAAAGAGCCCGAAAGTGATTATATTCAGCCTTCTTCTACTTTTCTGCCCCTCCCACACACACCTGTAGGTCATAGGTAAACTCTTGGTGCAAGAGATGGGGATCATTCAGCCATTAAAAGAGAAGAAATATGCACACATTCCACTACATGGATAAACCTCGAATACATTAAGTAAAAGAAGCCAGACTAAAAGGCCATATATTTATGATTCCATTCATATGAAATATCCAAAGTAGGTGGATATCTGTAGAGACAGAAAGCAGATTAGTGCTGGGGCTGTATGGGGTGGGATATGAGGAGTAATATAAAGGGTTTCTTCTTAAAGGGACAAAAATGTCCTGAAAGTAGTGGTGATGGTTTTATGACTCTGTTACTATATTAAAATCACTGAATTAGAAGCCATGCAGTGGTGCATGTCTGAAATCCCAGCAACTCGGGAGGCAGAGATAGGAGGATCACGAGTTCAAAGCCAGCCTCAGCAATGGCGAGACACTAAGCAACTCAGTGAGACCCTGACCTAAATAAAATACAAAATAGGGCTGGGGATGTAGCTCAGTGGTCCAGTGGTCCAGTGGCATTGGTCCAGTGGTCCAGTTCCCTGGAGTTCAATACCTGGTAACCCCCCTCAAAATCACTGAATAATATACTTAAAAAGGGTAAATTTTACAGTATGCAAGTTATATCTTGATTTTAAAAAAAATATGTAGAGATAGGGAGTTGACTTAATTTCTTCCTTCTTCACATACAGAGATCCAACCAGGTATGTAATGTTTGAAGCTCTTGGGGTTATAAGGAGACTGAGACCCATCAGAACAAGCACAAAAACACACATTCCCAGCTTTGGTTACTGAGTTGGAGAGTGCTAGTGTGCCTAACGGAACTGTAGATTTCCACCATTCAACCTTGAATCACTATTTATTGCCAGGTGCTGCTGTGCTGGGATGTCAGGACACAGCAGAGAATGAGACAGACACAGGCCCCAGGGGAGAGACAGACACTTAACATGAGATTGCACAAATAATTTGCCAGTTACCAATTATGCTGTTAAAAACTACATGATGGCTTAAGGGTTTATGAAACAAATGCAATAAATCCAAGATCAGGCAGGAGGGATCTCTCTGAAGAGTTAGCTTCTAATCCAAGCATGGAGGGCTGGGGAAAGATCCACCTAGGTGAAGTAGAAAGCAGAACTGCTCATCAAGGGAAAGGAGGTACTAGGAAGACCCAAAAGTTGGAAAGGGCAGAGACAACAGAGAGCCAAGGGGAGAACAGTTGCCTCCCCATGTCACCAGCCAGAGATCATTCCTGAAACCACCAAATAGAAATTCAGGCTCTAGAGCCAGCACTTCTGGCTTGGGCTGGAGATAGATACCTTCCAGAATGTTCATGCCCTGAGATTTTAAAAAGTGTGTCTAATACCATTGATTATTCATTCATTCAATAGATATTTATTGAGCAACTGCAACATGCCAGGTGCTGGGTACACACAAGTGAACACAGAGCATCCCTACCCTCTTGGGGCTCACAGTCTAAATGGGGAGACAGACAATCAACAGGTGAACAGACAGTCAACAGGTGGAAAGGTGCCTTCAGGAGAGATGGCCTCATAAAGAGTTTGGGGCTGAGTGGTTTGACACAGAGTGGTTGGGGAAAGCCTATCAGAGGTGACAGAGGCAGAAGCCCACCATGCTTAGGCTCCAGAAGGGAACAGGAAGATCTGGTGGGGTGAGAGCCAGCTTGGGATAGAGGGAGGGCAGCAGTGAGCAGCAAGACAGAAGAGAAGGGTGCAGAGCTGGCCGGGAGAATTCATCAGGGGCCTTGCTGGCCATGCAGTGGACTTAGTTTGGAACTGGGTTTTTTGGTTCTAAAGTGATGGAAAGCCCTAGGAGCAGGGAAATGACATAGCAACTCCAAAGTTCTGGTGAGGGGGTTGGTAAGTTGGGTGGGGACCAAGAATGGGAAGAAAGTATTGAAATGATAAAGGGTATTTCCCAGGACAGAAACACAACAAACATGAGGGAATGTAACCAAAGAGTGCACTTTGCTGGGTTAATCCTGTCCGAATCCCAAAGTTAAGAGCACCCACTTTGGAGTCAGGCTGACGTGGGCTTAAATCTAGGCTTATCAACTGTGTGACCTTGGGCAGGTGACTTCTCTTCTGCGCGCCTCAGCCTCCTGGTCTGAACGATGGGTTAACAATAGAGCCTACCTGACAGGGTTGTCGCTGCTATCACGTTTGTGGGGCCCAGCCGAGCGGCGGGCGCCCAGCAGCTGCTGCGGCTGTGAGTAATTTGTTACTAAGAATAGTTAGCGCCCCTCTCACGGCCTCGGTCTCCAAGCGGTCGCGCGCAAAGACCAGGCTGGACCCCCAGACCCGATGCTGGCAGGGGCGCGGCCCCCGGCCCCCCAGTCGAGCGCCCCATCCAGGTCCCCGCCCCCACCCCCCGCTCACCTGGGCCGCGGCGGCCCGGGGATGTGCTCATAGCGGCTGCGAGCGCGATGCACGAAGGTGCAGCAGAGGCCGAAGGCGAGCAGGACGGCGCTGCCGAGTAGCAGCAGCCCGGGGCTCATGGCTCCGGGCCAGGCCAGGCCAGGCCAGGCCGGTGGGCGCCCGTGCCGAGGGGGCGGGAGGCCGCGAGCGACTCGGCTGTCAGAGCCGCGCGCCGCCTCGGCCCCAGGCCCGGCGCTCCCCAGCACCGCCCCCGGCCGCTCGGCTCCGCCCCCTCCGGCTCGGCCCCGCCCCGGGCGCGCGGTTCCCGCCAACCACGTCTCCAAGTTCGACTCCAGCGCTTGGGGCCCGCCCCCTCTACGCCACGCCCCCGCTTAAGCTCCTCCCCGATCTTCACACAACCCCGGCCCAGACCCTGCCCAGGACAGGAGGTCTCCACCAATCATAACTTCGCTTCTGGCTCGCACCCCCAGACCCCGCCCTTCCCCGCCCTCTCAGGCTCAAGCTCCGCCCCGGCAGCAGCCCCGCCCCAAACGCGTTGTCCTTGGCAACCCTGATTTCTCAGCGCGTGCTACCCCGGCGGCCGCGTGAAGTCTAACGGGTTGGCTCCGCCCCCTTGGCGCCTCCAAATAGCGGCGTCTCTCCACGCGCGGTCCTAGGTCCCTTCCTTTCTTGCTCAAACCTTCTGGAAACCCCATCGAAGCCATCAGATTCCGGCGTTACGCCGACGGTTCCCAAGCCTCTTCCTCCAACACCGTCTCCCAAAGTTGGTCTACCCAAATGCCCCGCGGGCGCCTCCCCTCGCTGACCTGTAGGTGCCCAGCGCCCGCGGTCCGCCAGCAGGCTCCAGCGGGTGACGAGGACCCCGCGAGACACAGGGAGGCCTGAGTCTGCGGATGAAGCACGCTGAGGGACTCGAAGCTGCTCTCTCCGAGTCCTGGCTCCGACAAGTCTCCCAGATCCAGGGTGCCCGAGCGTGTGGCCCCGGGTCCGGAGCACCTGGCGTTGGAGTGGGCATCATGTACCCTTGATCCTCTCCCTGGGGAAAGCGAGGAGTGTGACCCAGGTGGCCAAAGGCTTCTCCTACTCATTCGGGTTTGTCCAAAGAGGCCAACCCTGGGCTTTTAAGTTCACTGTGCCTATCCCAATGGTCACCCAAAGTGTCAGCAGTGGACTGCAAGGGCCAGGTGTGCCTACTCCTAGCGCAGCTAAAGATCTTCTGGGCTAGAGTGGGAGTGCCAGAAGAGTTCGGACGCTGCGGGACTTCTGGGAAGAGGCCATACACTTGCCCTAGTCTTGGGCCAGTCCTCTCCAGGGCCCACCTTTCCAGGTATAGCCAGGGACAGTAACCCTTATGGGGTTATGGGTGATGGAGAAGGCCAAGCTTTCAGACGCATGCCTTGCACCAAAGAGACAAGATTTCTGCTCCCGAGGACACCGCCGCCTAGGCTGGTCCCGCTGAAAGGAGTCCATCCCATTGCAGGGACTTGGACCGTCAAGCTGGGGACGGTGACTTGCCACCGCGCCCCCGCGTGGCTGCCAGAAGCAGACGTAGGAGTGCACCGAAGACCTCAGGCTCTTGGGACTGCCAGGAGAAAGGCAGTGAGGTCAGCCAATCCCCACCTTGTGGGCGGTGAGAGCTCCAAGATTTGGGGGCAATTTGGAAGCAGGGTGGGGTTGCACTCAGGAGGGATGTAGATTTGTGCTCTCAGGTGAGTGTGTGGTTAGCTAGAAAAAGAAAAGTGACAGGACACTTTTAAAACCAGAGTTCCTGGCACCATGCCCTGAGTTTACAAAAAGGTTCAAGCTGTATGGCGACCACTCTGCATGCTTTGTTCCTCTGGAGCCTGCACAGTGGTTTTCTTGAGGACAGGCCCAGATCCTGAACAGCTCTGGGCACAGGCTGGGGCCCCATGAGAGGCAGGCATAGAGCAGCATCTGGGCACAATTGCCAGCTGAGCCCGTCCACCTAGGGCTGAGGGGGGTGATGTGGATGTTCTGTGGAACATCAGGCAATATCAGTGACCTCTGGTTCAGCCCAACCATTGCTTACCCCTGCACTTTTGTCCATAGAGAACCCCCTTCCTCCCACTATGTTGGACAACAGTCTCCCCTACCCAAGGCACCACATGTCACCCTCTTCTTTGAGAAATCAGGTGGTGGGACATGAGCATGCACAGAGGCTCCAAGGCTGAAAGGTCCTTTTCCTGGGCCGGCAGCACTGCCAGCTGCAGCAGAGGGTACTACCTGGAAGGGCCACCACCTGCCCCTTCACAGGGATGGTCTAGACCAACGTCATCCAGTGTGGTAGCCTCTGTCCAATGTGGCTATCGAGCACTTGAACAGTGGCTAGTCCAAACTGGCATGGGCTGTGTGGGTAAATTACACATTGGATTTCATAAATTGAATGCCCAGAGAAGTTGTTTTTTTTTTTAAAAAAAGTCATTGATATTTTTGTATTGATTAAAATACTATTTTGTATGTTGCTCAAATAAAATATATTATTATAACTAATTTCACCTAGTCTTACTTTTTAATAGGGCTACTAGAAAATTTTTAATCACCATGTGGCTCATATCATACTTGATTGAACAGCACTAGCATGACTCTGATTCTCAAAGTCTGGCCCCTAGGCACAACCCAGGGACTTGGTGGAACTGCGAAGCTTCAGCCTCTCCCCAACCTGAGTCAAATCTGGGCTGGAACCCAGCCACCTGGGTCTTAAGCTGCCCTGCAGGGGATTCTCCTCAAGCCTCAAAACAAGCCACCAGTGTAGACCTGCCATAAAGGGAGTAGTTTCCCAGCAGGAACCTCTGGGGAGATGCAGCCAGGACGGTGGCTCTGAAGTGGCCGCCCTACTTGGGTGCCTCTCAGGCAGAAGGGCAGGAGCCAGGGAAGGAGGAGGACCAGGCCCTGGGAGAGCCAGCCTCCATTCAAAACTGCCTGGGAAGCCCTGGAGAGTGGTTACATAACCACCCTGGGATGGAAAAGAGGGACTGTGATATTGGTGGTGGCTTGTGGGGCCACTGTTAAGATCAAATGAGCCGACACACTGGAGACATATGGCATGCAGTCAGTGCTCAATAAAAGCTAGTTCTCAGCAGGGGAGGGGAAGCAAGCACAGACGCCCAATGATGAGAAGACCTGGGTTCTCCACGTTATTCTAAAGCAGCTCATTTTGCTCCCACTTTGAGGATTTCTTCCCGTATCATTCCAGTGCTGGTCTCCAGTATGCCCATTCCCATTCTGTCTTATACAGTTGGAAGCTGCCAGCATAGATACCACTAGCTTGATCCAGAGCTTTCTGCCTAGGAAGCCGCCTGAAACATGCTGGGCACATTTGCAATGTTACCTCTTTTTTTTTTTTTTTTTAATACAGTAATCCTGCTGATAATCTCTATTTTCCAGTGAGACTCAGAGAGGTTAAGTGACTGCCCTAAGGTCACACAGGCCAGACTGGTACCTGGTCTCCAGAGTCCTTACCCTTCTAGTCAACCTCCAAACATCTGCAAGGTGTAAAGGCAGGGTACCTTGGGGAGCTGGAGGCTGTGCACTCCCTTTACTGACGTGGCTATTGAAGTCATAGACAGAGGGCTTTTCCTACTGTCAGAAGAAAAGGGTGGCCACTCAGCGTCCTGGGGGCAGATGGACACAACCGAACAAGGTACAAGCGATGCCTGGACAGGGGTTTGAAGTGCTGTTACGACAGGCTGATATGCTTTGGACCTGATCCTGGATGCTGAGCCACACAGAAGCATTGGCCCTGGGGGTCCAAAACTAAGCTGTGTGCCTTTGGCAGCAGGAGCCTGACACAGGCTGCTGACAGGAGGCCAAACTGGGCTGGGGAGGTAAAGAGGAAACTGGCAGGGCAAAGGGACCCGAGGGACTGCCAGGCAAGAAAGAAATGCCTGAGGCCGGAGTCCTGAATTCCACTCCACGCAAGTGCTGAAAGGCAGCTCTCCCCTCCCTGGACATGAGTTCTTATCTGCACAACCACAGGACAGTTGGGGTGGGGGGGTGGGACTTAATGCCTCAAGTGGCACAGCAGGATGGCCACAGCTGGGGCTCCAGGGTGGACTGCCTGGATTCGAATTTAAATAATGGCTGTGTGACATTTGGCAGGAAATAACCTCTCTGGATTGAGTTTCTACATCTGTAGGCTGCCTGCCGGGAGGTGTGATCACAGCACCTGCCTCCAACTGTTACTACAGTGTTGAAGGAGTGGATCAAGCAGCACTTGGAGAAGAGTGCCAGGCATGTGGGGTGCCAGCCACCCACTCTTATCACTGCCCAAGGAATAGTGACTCCGCCAGCCCCTTCTCATGACAGTGGCACTCTGCCCTGGGCAGGAGGGGCACACAGGGTTGCTATCAACTGCTTCCCAGCCAGACTGGCAGCCCCAGTGGCAGGGCCTGGCACTTCAGGCTGTCATACCCCTCTCGCAGACCCAGCAGCAGCAGAGCCACAAGCCAGCTCTGGAGCACATCTGGCTTCAGCTGAGCCTTGGATTCTCTCCTCCCTGCCTGGGGCCCTCAACTAAGATATTTAATCTCCATGTGCCCCGGTTTCCCCTCCTGTGACAAAGGGAGAAGAAGAGCGCTGTCCCGAGGGTCGAGTTGAGCCACGCTGTGCCGTCTCTACAACCAGACCTGGCTCATGGGCCACACTCCACAGCAGGGCTAATGGCAGCCCCCACACAGAGGCAGCCCAACAGGGTCAGATAAGACACAAGGTCCTGAGTCCTCGCCAGCCCCACTTAGCACAGAGGTATGAAGAGGCCAAGAGGTGACGAGAGAAAAATTCTGAGGTCCTACATTAAATTAATAAGGGCAGGAAGATGGACCAGGGAGGAGGCAGGGAGTGAATCAGTAAACAATGTGGGAGAGCGGGACTCTGACCCTGGTCTCTAAACACCAGGATCCACTTCAATCGCCAGGAAAAGACCTTCCTCAACTATTAGCCTCAACCAATCCCTAAGTACCAAGCATTTGTGCTTAATGGACCACTCGCCAACGCCAGCCCACCCACCGCTGCCTTCAGCTTATCCCCGCTTTATCAATAGCCAACCAAAGCTCAGCGTACACGACCTGTGCTCCCCGGACTGCATTACCAGGACCCTCCCTCCCGGGTGAGACTACAGCCTCTACCAGGCCAGTCTTGCTGCTGGTGGCTGCCCAGCTCTGCACCTGGACCTGGTCCCTCCTGTCTTCTGTCCTTCATTTCTT